ACCCGATGGTTGATTGGACCCATAGTATGCTGTTATGATTATATGTGTATTGTTGTGGGTATGGGTATTTTGTGGGAACTCACTAAGCTTTCGGGCTTACAGTTTCAGTTTATTGTTTCAGGTGCATCAGGGGATCGTGGCAAGGCAAAGGCGTGATCGTACAACTCCTCATAGTTCATGATTTTATGATTTGATTATGGGGATACTCTGATAATTAAACTATTTTGACAACAATTTGTAATAACTTAATGATTTTAAATGTCCTAAAAAGTTTTAAATTGGCTTGAATTTTATGGGTGTTACACTTTAATACACCATGCATATAGTAACAAAAGGCTACAAGTGTAAGAACATGGGTTTATGATTAAAATAAATGCAAGCATGTCTTCTTTTCCCTTTATGGTCTCCATGTATATTTTATATAAACAAGAAGCTAGTTTTTCTATAAAAACTCTTTTAATTTTTATAACTTATAAAACATATTAATCCATATAAGACAAAAATCCCCTTTGATCCAAAAAGATGTACATGACATAATAAATCATACCTTATGATATATTTTGATACTTAGCAATGAAAATTAATATTTCCATGAAATAAATAATTTCCAATTAATTACAAGATATATATATTTATTTATCAAGAGTCAAATTCTTATATATAATATATTTGCATCAAGTTGTTGTTAATGCGACCCTTTAAGATCATATATTATGTAGCAATATTATTCTATAATGAGTCTTGCGGCATATAGATCTTTGAAAAAATAGGTTGAAATTTATGATGTTACATTTGACATATAATATCTACGACATACAACTACTTCGACCTTCGACATACAACAACTGTCGACCTATTGATTGGAGCCTAGTGTTCGAGTTACAAAATTTCACACAAAATGTATAAGGTCTGTACCCTGCCATGCCCAAAATATTGTTAATTTTCTGTTATTGATCTCTCACATAAGCCTTGCGTAGGTTAACGTTGACCATACTAATGTGAGCCTAGTGTTTGAGATGCAAAATTCTACACAAGATGTCTAGAGTTCGAACCATGATATATCCAAAACATTGCTAGTGTTTCGTGATTGACCTTCCATATTAACCCTATGTGGGTTAACATGGACCATATTAACGACGTGGTTGACCATTTTTTACAACTTTGGCAATATAATTGCTATGGCATACAACGACTTTGCCTATACAAGAGCTTTGCACATACAACGAGTTTACTATGGCATATTTGACATTACGACCACTTTACACATATAACTTGTTTGCTCATATTGCAACATTGGTCATATAGGAACTTTGGTAGTATAACAACTTTGGTCATATAGCATTTTTGGCCTTACAACAACTTTGATCATACAACCTTTGGTCATAAAATAACTGTGATCTTAAAGTAGCTTTGCCACTTTGCAATACAATTTTTTTTCCTTAATATTTTGTAAGAGAAAAAAATGGCTAAAATCATATCAATCTTTGTATACCAATCATTTACTACTGGAAGCGTTTTTCCACCACAGTTGCTCGTCTACCCACATAGGTGTTGCCCGTGGGCCATAACTAGGGGTGAACATTTGGACCGAACCGGTTTGGTAGAAATTGGTGGACCTTGGACCGGATTGTTGATGCCCGGTTTTCAGGTCCGATCCAGATCCAGGTTATCCGGTTCTTGTATCCGTAGAACTGGTACAACTTTAGGTGCATATGGTACAATTCATTGAAGCTTTACCGAAATTTAGTTTATCTATTACGACTTAGGGGTGAGTATTTGGACCGATTTTTGGATCAACCGGTTTTGCAACAATTTATGGACCTTGGATCGGAGACCGATCCAGGTCTGGTCCGGAAGTCCAAATGCTCAGCCATGACCCTTGCAATTTGTAGTATTTGGGATCAAAATCCGTCTTATTATACAAACCTATATGACCCTTGCAATTTGTAGTATTTGGGATCAAAATCTGTCTTATTATACAAACCTATAATGCCCACCAGGCCACCACCCAATTTGCATTTAATCATAGCTTCAATCTCCTTTAAAACTAAAAGAAATTCTAAAACTAAAAGAAATTCTAGTTATGACGTTAAATAATAAACAAATTGATTATCAACCCTATTATCCTCCCCGGGTATTTTAGTGAATAGCGCTATTTTAAAACTACTTCACTTTCTTTATTTTGATTTTTCGAATCTTCTTACACCCTCCTGTCCGCATAAATACTAAGAACCTCGGGAATTTGCTTTTCCATAAAATCTTTCTTCCATTATTCTTCAAGATCCTGCATACCTCATCGCCAATGGCTACCTTCTCCAAACCCCAATTAAATAACTCTCATTCTTCAACGGAAAGCTCCAATTTTGAAACGTCAGACAACCAACCCATGTCGCACGACTGGTATTCCGAAGACAACGGAGTATACAACAGCAGACACCCACGAATTAACCTCCCTTCAGACCCATTTCTCGATGTCGTTTCCTGCGTATTCTCACACAAACACAACGGAAAAACTGCACTCATTGATGCAGCATCCGGGGTTTCAATTTCGTACGCAGAACTCCAACCGTTGGTGAAATCAATGGCTAATGGACTTCACCACCACATGGGTGTTTCAAAAGGTGATGTCGTTTTGATCCTTTTACCAAATTCGATTTACTATCCCATTGTTTTATTGGGTGTTCTATATCTAGGAGCTGTCGTAAGTACCATGAATCCGTTCAGTAGTTTCTCTGAGATAAAAAAACAAACACTTGGTTGTCACGTCACTTTAGCCTTTACTTTTCCTGATAAAGCCGACGAACTAAACTCGATAGGAATCGAATCTATCCTAGTGCCCGAAACTGCAAAATTCGATTCAAACCAAGTTCGTTTTGCGCCTTTTTTCAATCTAATTTCAAGCGATCACGATTTGGTTCCATGTCGAACAGTTAAGCAAGATGACACCGCTGCGATTCTTTATTCATCAGGAACTACCGGCGCAAGTAAAGGCGTAGTTTTAACTCATAGAAATTTGATTTCTGGGGTTGAGCTTTTCGTTCGATTTGAAGCTTCTCAATATGCGTATCCCCCTGAAGACAACGTGTATTTAGCTGTTGTACCCATGTTTCATATCTATGGACTTACACTTTTCACTATGGGGATTCTTTCATTGGGTACTACGATTGTTGTTATGAGAAAGTTTAATGTTGATGGAATGGTGAGGTCTATAGATAGATATGGAGTCACTCATTTTCCCGGAGTGCCCCCATTGGTGACTGCGTTGAGTAGGATGGGAAAGGGTAGTTCTGGTAAAAGTAAAACCTTGAAGAGCTTAAAGCAGGTGTCTTGTGGAGCTGCTCCTTTGAGCACAAAAACTATAGAGGAGTTTATGCAATATTTTCCTCAAGTCGATTTCATTCAGGTAATAAAATTTCAATCCTAATAGCAAAGCAGCTATACAGTGTGGGAGTTTCAGTTCCAATGTGGATTTAGACTCCTTGTGGGGTACTTTACTTTTATGTCACCTACCTAGTGGGCCTATATGTACCTGATTTACATCACGTATGATGTTGTTCAACTGTTGTTGTGGGCCCATGTGTACCTGATTTATATCATACATGATGTTGTTTAACTGTTGTGGTGGGCCCATGTGTACCTAATTTACATCACACATGATGTTGTTCAACCGTTGTGGTGGACCAGTGTCAGGGGTTACTGGAAGAATAACTGATGTTGACCAGATGTTTTTAGGGTTATGGCATGAGTGAATCGACTGCTGTGGGAACACGTGGATTCAACACACGAGATGTTCATAATTATGCATCGGCTGGACTTTTGGCTCCAAATATGGAAGCTAAAGTGGTGGATTGGGTTACTGGTTTACATCTGCCACCTGGAAAAACCGGTGAACTTTGGTTACGTGGGCCCGCTATAATGAAAGGTAACCACTATTCCTTGAGAACTCAGGCCCAATTGTTACACATGACATGACAGAATAGAACAGTCTGTACTACAGTTGTCAATGACACAAAAACTGTAAATTCTTTTGTCCCACTCAAAAAAGTGGGGCCCACCCAATATGACGGGACAAGGACATAAATACCCTTTTGATCTTTCTGCTGTGTAAAAGACATAAATACCCTTTTAACTCTATAAGCTTATCTTGTTGAGTATAGTCTAGTCTAGTCATGTCAACCTCAAAGATTTTCCTTTGTGATTTAGATATCCCACAAATAGTAATTTGATAGAAGATCTTTTTTATTTTTTTTTATTGTAGAATACTTGAACAATGTGGAGGCAACTTCTTTGACTATTGATAAGGAAGGTTGGCTACATACAGGAGACATTGTCTATTTTGATAAAGATGCATATTTGCATATTGTTGATCGTTTGAAAGAGATAATAAAGTACAAAGGGTTTCAGGTAATCTTATAAAATAAAGACTTTGACTAATACAAAAGTAATAAAAATCCAATCTTTCTTAGAAATGAATAAAGAATAAAAGATTAAATGATCTTATTGCAGATTGCTCCTGCTGATTTAGAGGATGTTCTTACATCTCATCCAGCCATACTTGATGCTGCAGTAACAGGGTAAGTTAGTCAACTAAACCCTAAACCCTAAACTCTAAACCCTAAATTTTCGACATGTAGCTTTTGGGATAAGGTTTGTATGTGGTTATCTAGTGCTTCGAAGAAGTGTATGAAAATCGGATCAATTTTGAAGTCAAAAGTATAATTTGTTTGACTTTGACCTCAAAAGTCAAACCATGACTTGTGATGAATTTGTGATTTTGATCATGTAGAGCTAGAGATGAGGAAGCAGGAGAAGTTCCAGTTGCATTTGTAGTGAGGAAGCCTGGATTTGAAGTTACTGAATCCAGCATAATTGATTTTGTAGCAAAACAGGTTTTCATTCTATAAATATAAAAATATAATCACTCAAATCTTCATTGCTAGAAATAGCAACGTACTTTGAATTAATTTTTTTGTTATAGAATCCTACTTTTTGTTTTTTTATTATTTATTTCTATTAAAAAAATATAATCAGTATTTGCAATGTGACAGGTGGCGCCATACAAGAAGGTGAGAAAAGTGATGTTCATGAACGTGATACCAAGGTCTGCAGCTGGAAAGATACTAAGGAGGCAATTAAAGGACAAGTTATATTCGAGAATTTGATGATTTAAAAATATTTCATTTATTTTTTATGCAATTCTTCAAGTGTGTGGCTTATAAAATATAAACCCTTGAGTCGGGTTGACACGGGTTTATTTTTTTGTAATGTGATCAACATTCAACAACAATGTTGGAATTTATTGGAATAAATAGAATTTATTATTACATAGTATCGAGAGAAACCATTACATTGTAGAAACCATTTGGATATGGTGTATATGGAAGTGGGCCCATGGCCTTATTCTTGGAAGTATATGTGTTGTATTAGTTAGCTTTTCCAATTTTAGCACCACTGTGACCTCCGGAGCCACCCTTTCCTCCGCCACCACCACCGCCGCCGCCCCATCCCCCTTGACCACCACCACCGCCGCCGCCGCCGCCGCTCCATCCTCCCTTTCCACCTCCTCCTTGACCACCACCTCCACCACTCCACCCTCCCTTACCACCTCCTCCTTGACCTCCACCACTCCATCCTCCCTTACCACCTCCTCCTTGACCACCACCTCCTCCTTGACCACCACCTCCTTGGCCACCACCTCCACCACTCCATCCTCCCTTACCACCTCCTCCTTGACCACCACCTCCCTTGTCACCTCCTCCTTGACCACCACCTCCTCCCTCCTCCTTGACCACCACCTCCCTTGTCACCTCCTCCTTGACCACCACCTCCTCCTTGGCCACCACCTCCACCACTCCATCCTCCCTTACCACCTCCTCCTTGACCTCCACCACTCCATCCTCCCTTACCACCTCCTCCTTGACCATCACCTCCCTTGTCACCTCCTCCTTGACCACCACCTCCTCCTTGGCCACCACCTCCACCACTCCATCCTCCCTTACCTACACATCCATAACCACCCCATCCTCCAAAACCACCACCACCGCATCCGCCACCCTTTCCTCCATTTCCATACCCACCCCAACCATCATTACCTCCACCTCCACCTCCACCTCCACCACCTCCTTGTGTCTTCCCAACTAAATTCCCTATGCAAACATACACACACACAAAAAAAATATGAGAACAAGCAAATCATAAGATCTTAAAACAAGTTAATTACAAACGAAATACTTACCTTTTTTCTCATCATCTTCAGAACTTTTAGCAATTACAGCAGAAACAACAAGAACATATACACACAAAAAAGCCAACAACACATAACCACCTTTGATTCTCATTTTCTCAAAATGTATGTAAATAAAAACGATCACTTATACAAAAATGTTACTCTTTTTGGGCTCTTTTTATAGATTTGAAAGCATTAAATGAAACTTGTCTGCTACTAACTTCCTACAAAATTCTGGTGGGAGTTACAAAACTGGATAGATTCAATTTCAAACCTCTTAGATCATCTTTTATTGACTAAAAATACAAAGAGAGTTAGCATCACGACAGGTGGCAACAAAACTGACACCTGGACTATGCGAATAGTACGCATTTTATGGATCTTAAATTAGTGTTTTCATTTCTGAACTGAAATTGTTTACATTACAAATCTCCATAGAATACACAAATGGAGCTAATTAAATATGCATTGAGCAAAAGAACTACAAAGGAGTTTATGCAATCATTTACTCGAATCAAGTTCATTCAGGTAATAAAATTACAGGGAGTTGTGTATCTGATTTACATCTTATATGATGGATATGATACAAAGTGTTTCTGAGAATCGAATAAAGTAAAGATTTTTATACAAAAGTAAATCAAACCGAATCTTTGATGGAGATTGATGTAGAATAAAGACTAAAAGATCTTATTGCAGATTGCACCTGTTGATTGTGACTAACTGAATCCTAAACCCTAAACCTTAAACCTTAAACCTGAAAGTATAAATAAATGTCAATTTGTTTGTAAATACATGAACTTATATAGGAAAGTTGAACATGCCTGTCTTTTGAGGTTGTCAAATCCCAAATAGGACAACGATTTTCTTGAAAATATAATACCAAATTTTATGAAGTGTAGCTTTTGGAAGACTTGTATGTGGTCATCTTGTATTTCTTAGAGGGGGTAGGATTTTCACTAGTAAGAATTTAAGTTATATTCATTTGATTTTGAGTTTGTGATTTTCATCTTTTGGGGTTGTCAAATCCCAAATTGGAGAAGTATTCGTTGCTACCCTTAGATGCTGTTTCTTTTTGATTTAGTGAGTTATGTTATCTATATATGAGTGTTTTCTTTTTCACTAATTGTAGAAAGAAGACTTAACATTAGAGTTAAATGCAAGAAACAACCACACACTTCCATTAATTTATTTATAATTATACCATTCTATTTTCCTTTGTTCTATTATTAACAATATAGTACATTTGGGTACATTTTATGAACTATAATTTCCTAATAAAAAAATACAAACAGATGTTGCAATGCAATAACCTCGTAGATCTTAACAATACAATGCCTTAATAATAAGAAAAATAAAAATAAAAGTACAATGTTGTAATAGAAAGATATGCAAGTAGAATGTTGTAATGCACGAATAAATAAATGTGCGTTGTCATTTCTTGTGTTTAGCCCTTCCATTAAGCACTAACTTGTTACAAAATTGCCTTACATTTTTGTTCTTCATTTCTCAAATATTTTCTATATATCATATTTCATTTTTTTTTTCATAATTCACAGAAGTCATCCAAATTCATCAAGCGAAGTCACAGGTTTACTTTATGTATGTGGATGGCCAACATTGTTGAATTTTTTTTTTGAATGAATAAAACTTTATTATTATTACTGAGAAAGATAAGTATCAAGATGCTATGAGTTCAACATACTCACATTGAACTCAATCAAAGAAACAACTGCATTGTGGAAACATGAACCATCTATATATGATATATATGGCACTTTGGTCCGTGGCCTTATGAGCCACCACCACCTTCGCCACCACCACCTCCGCCGCCTCCACCACCACCACCACCACCTCCACCACCCCATCCTACCTTATCACCTCCTTCTTGACCATAACCTCCGCCACTTGATCCACCTTTATCACCTCCTCCTTGGCTGCCACATCCTCCCTTGTCACATCCTCCTTGACCACCACCTACATCGCTCCCTCCTCCCTTATCACCTCCTCCTTGGCCGCCACCTTCACTGCCACATCCTTCCTTGTCACATCCTCCTTGAGCACCACCTTTACCACACCCTCCTCCCTTATCACCTCCTCCTTGGCCACCACCTTCACCGCCACATCCGCCCTTGTCACATCCTCCTTGACCACTGCCTTTACCGCTCCCTCCTCCTTGGCCACCACCTTCACTGCCACATCCTCCCTTGTCACATCCTCCTTGTCCACCACCTACATCGCTCCCTCCTCCCTTATCACCTCCTCCTTGTCCGCCATCTCCGCTGCCACATCCTCCCTTGTCACATCCTACTTGACCACCGCCTTTACCGCTCCCTCCTCCCTTATCACCTCCTCCTTGGTTGCCACCTTCACTACCACATCCTCCCTTGTCACATCCTCCTTGACCACCACCTACATCGCTCCATCCTCCCTTATCACCTCCTACTTGGCCGCCACTTTCACCGCCACATCCTCCCTTGTCACATCCTCCTTGATCACCACCTTTACTTCTCCCTCCTCCCTTATCACCTCCTCCTTGGCCGCCACCTTCACTGCCACATCCTCCCTTGTCACATCCTCCTTGATCACCACCTTTACCGCTCCCTCCTCCCTTATCACCTCCTCCTTGGCCGCCACCTTCACCGCCACATCCTCCCTTGTCACATCCTCCTTGATCACCACCTTTACCGCTCCCTGCTCCCTTATCACCTCCTCCTTGGTCGCAACCTTCACCGCCACATCCTCCCTTGTCACATCCTCCTTGATCACCACCTTTACCGCTCTCTCCTCCCTTATCACCTCCTCCTTGGCCGCCACCTTCACTGCCACATCCTCCCTTGTCACATCCTCCTTGATCACCACCTTTACCGCTCCCTGCTCCCTTATCACCTCCTCCTTGGCCGCCACCTTCACCGCCACATCCTCCCTTGTCACATCCTCCTTGATCACCACCTTTACCACTCCCTCCTCCTTTATCACCTCCTCCTTGGCCGTCACCTTCACTACCACATCCTCCCTTGTCACATGCTCCTTGACCACCACCTACATCACTCCCTCCCTTATCACCTCCTCCTTGGCCACCACCTTCACCGGCACATCCGCCCTTGTCACATCCTCCTTGACCACCACCTTCACCGCTCCCTCCTCCCTTGTCACCTCCGCCTTGACCACCCCCTTCACTGCTCCCTCCTCCCTTATCACCTCCTCCTTGGCCACCACCTTCATTATTCCCTCCTCCCTTGTTACCTCCCCCTTGTCCAACACCTCCACCACTCACTCCTCCTATGTCACCTCCTCCTTTATCACCATCACCACCTTTCCCTCCTCCCTTACCTCCACATCCATAACCACCCCATCCTCCAAAACCGCCACCACCACATCCGCCACCCTGTCCTCCACTTCCATATCCATAAGCATCCTTGCCTCCACCCCCACCACCTCCATGATGTGTCTTGCTGACTAAATTTCCTAGGAAATAATAGAATAATTAGAACATGCCAATCACGAACTTTACTGAGAATATGTTATATGTTAGTGTCTCATATCGGGTAGCCAAGGTTATTTTCTCACTGTTGGAGTTTACTGTTGCTTCTTAATTAATTAATATTTCTTTTAGAACCCCATATATCTTGTACACACTAACATTATAATATAAATAAAAAACTTACTTTTTCTCTCATCATTTCCAGATGTTCCAGAGATTACAGCAGACACGGTGATAACAAATGCACAGAGAAAAGCCAACACTAACACAAAGCCATCTTGTTTTTTCATTTTCGGAAACCGTGCGTATATACCAACGATGACTTATACAAAAGGTTACGGATTTTCAGGCCTTTTATAGAGTAGAAAACATTAAAAGAAGCTTGCCTACTACTTACCTCCTACCTAGTTCGGATGGGAGTTACATTAATAGCTAGATCCTACTTCAGATTTAAAGCTCTTATATCATGTTTTCTTGACTAAAATTAGCATCATGACAAGTGTCAACGAAATTGCCACCAGGAAAATGCAAATGATACTGCTTTTATGGATCTTAAATTAGGGTTATCATTTATGAATTGGATTCCTTATATTACGTACAGATCTCCAATACACAGCTGGAACTTAAATACATATGGGATTGAAACACTCAGAAACTGCTTGTTTATAATATTTAACTTTTTGTAGATTGAAGTGGAGTTGACTCCCTTTTAGCTGCAATTTGTTCAAACAAGTCCCGGATCTTCAACCCTACAATGGTTTGAAAGAGACCAGTGCCATTATTGCTACCCGGGAAATCAGCATGCTTCAACATTTGTTGTGTGATTTCACCATAGAATTTCGTTGAGATGTTACTCAAATGGCTTTCAACATAGATGAGTTCATCTAGTCTATCAAACTGCCCATCCATCTCCAACACAGAAACCTGCAAAAAGATTGAACTTTCGGTGAAATCATCTGTATTTACAGGTGTACGTACGTAGCTTGGGGTATTATATATGGTGTAGGTTTACCTCATGCCCAAAGTAAGCGTCTGGGCCATATGAGAAGCTGATGCCAGGATACGAGCAAGTGAGCTTCCTCCCGCATGGGATCCATGAGATGGTGGAACCTTCGTCGAATAAGTACACAGGATTGAAGTATGGAACTCCTTCCTTCATGATCAGCTTCACTCTCAACACTTTTCCCTCGTTGTCATCTGGAATCAGACGTGTAGGCAACACTTCAATAACCGCGTCTGCATATTGCTTTTGAGGATCTGTATACGTGATCATGATCATAAACAGGGATCAATTAAGAATATATTCGTAATTCCTGGATAAATTAAGAGTTATGAGATCTTTAAGCATGGGTGAGAGGGTTACCAATATAAGCATCAAAATCTGGTTTTCTAGCCTCGATACTAGCTTTAATGCTTTCAAGACTGTGTCCTCTCTCTGCCATGTCTCTCTAGAGTTCATAGATACATATGGTGCATTTGTAAAATTATTCATTTTTTTTTTCAAAACATAATTTCGTATTGTATTTTTGTAAGAAATATGGTTATATTATTTTGATGCTAAACCTGAATTTTCCAGGCGAATTTAACTTCGTTACTGATGTCCAAGTAGATACTGAAGTCTAGGAGATCTCTAACTCTCTGATCATACCTACATATAATTTAAAGAAAATAAAAAAGAGATATGATCATAAGTTCATAATTCATAACCAAAGCTACAGTTATTGCATAATAATTAATGATGATTATCAGTTGAAATTTTTTTCATGATATAGTTATAACTAAAAATAGGAATGATGTGATGTACCACAAAATCTAATTAATTGGTGCATAGGGTTAGAAAAATAAAGTAAGAAAAAGTAAATATAAAAAAATAAAATTTAAATTGTCTTCAACATGGCCCCACTGATATTATGAGGATATGATCATAACATTTTCAGCCATACAAATCTATATCCAAATGTACCAGCTTAGATATCCTCTTCATATCCTCCACAAACAAACGGGTCGACATTAAACTTTAACATTAATGGAATAACGATCAAACTTTCTAATGTCGTCTTCCAAAATCTTTAAAAAAGTTGAAGAAATTAATCACCCTTTAAGACTTACATTGGGTGAAGACCTTCAATGACAAGAATCTTAGGGGATTTGATGAGTTCAGGAGGATCCAAAAGACCAGTAACATGGTTATAAATCGGCTTCTCAACAGCAACACCATCTTTAAGAGCCTTAACCTGTTCATACATAAGATCAAAGTCATTGGCTCGTGGATCAAGTGCAGTCACTCCCTTTTCTTTCCTTCCAGTTCTGTCCAAAGAATGGTAATCATCCAGACATATGACTGTAGTTGTATCACTTATGAGTGTATTTGAGTCGGGATTCCCTCCTTTTGGAGGGGAAGCTGCACCACCAAAAACACTGGTCAACCTTCTCATGAAGGTACTTTTCCCACTCCCAGAATCAGCTGCAAGTCCAATTACTATTGTGTCCCCTGAGCATGTTATTTCACCACCTCTCATCTTGCCACTACTTGTCCCTTTACCTCCATTGCTGTTGAAAAAGACCTGCTTTTGGTTGAATCCCAGGTGGGTTTTTGTGGGTGTTGAGATCGAGCATGTTGTGTTGAGAGCTTGGACTGTGTAAATTGTGCACGCTGCCATTCTCTCTCTCTCTCTCTCTCTCTCTCTCCCTCCTGAAGTTTTAGAGAGAGAAATGTAAGAGCTTTTGAATGTGTAATTCAAGATTCACAGGTTACAACTCCCTTAGAAGTATAAAAAGAAACTAACGAAAGTGTAAGAATCAGATGAGAAATGGATGTGGGGGACATCAGCTAGCTAGCTTTATGGGTTTCTATGACTACCCTTGGTTTTGGACAAAATTGGAGGTAATTTTAAGGTGGGGGGTAGAGAGATATAGTTGGACAAAATTGGAGGTATATTTGTCATTTAATTGAGTTGAGTTATGTAAGATGCTGAAATGAAAGTAGATCATAATAAAACAATGGCATTAATTTCTTTAATAAAGCGAAATAGGGAATTTTATGAATTTGAATAGTACACATTGGGCCAAAATTTGTAATTTTCCAATCATTTTGTAATTGCGGTAATAGATTGTTTTGATTTAAGTATAGGGGGTCAAACTATTCTATCGAATGAGAGCTTCAAATATGTGGGCCTTATGATACATAAGGCAGAGAGTACTTGTAGAGTTACCTAGATGTCACTCATCGCATATACAAGTAGGCAAAAATGGAGGATGATGTGCGAGTCTTGTAAGAGGGAATGTCTTGTTGAAACTGAGGGGGGTGTTTGAGATTATTTTTTTAGCTTTAAAGTCTTTTTTGTAATTTTTTTTTTCAAAACTAATGGTTTAAAATGTGTTTGGACGAACAAAAGACAAGTTGTTTTTAGGAGGTTAAAAAGTCACCATTTCGTGATTTTTAGAATCCAATTTTTTTCCTTTGAACTTTTTTTTGAACTTTTGAACTTCTCAACTTTTTTTTACTTTTTGGAAAAATGAAAAGTCCAAAGGTCGTTTTTAAAGTAATCTCAAACACCCTCTGAAAGGGAAGTTTTACAGAGAAACTATTAGGTCTATCATGATGTATGATCTGAATTAATGTTGGCGGACAAAAAGTAGCACGACAGAAAAATAGAAGTAGCTGAAATGAGGATATTAAGGTGAACTTGCTGAACTTTGTTAGATAGAATACCAAAATGCGACAATAAGAAATTTGTTAGGAGTAAGGAGCATAAAATTAAGGAAATGATGATTGAGGTGGCATTGACATGTCCAAATGGGGCTGCCATCGACGATGGTAATGCTGATATAGTCAATAATGTTTGATAGTAAGAGGAGGATAGGACATCATGTAAGGAATTGGTAGGATAGTATGAAACTATACACAACAGATATTGCTCTTTCCAAGGAAATGACCTCGGATAGTAGCCTAGCCCCTTGTTGTGTGCTAATTTTTTTTATCTTTATTGTTATAAATGTTCCTGCTCTTATACTCATATATGTGCATTATGATTTTCTTTCTCCTTTATCTTTTACTAATTACTTTAACTTACTCTTTCCATGTCTGAGCTCATTTGTAGGTTCTCGGACTCATATGCTTGTATTATGATGTACTAATATTTTTATTTTTCTACACATTTTTACTTACTACCTCTTGTTTTCCATTTGGATGTTCTTGTAACGCCCATATCGGAGGTCATATGTGATGCAATTGTTCTTATAGACATGACTACTTACATCTACTGACTGCTCATACCCCATTCTTATAGGATTTATGAGGTATATTGATGTTGTTGTAGTGATTGTTTTGATCTAAGGGTATTGATGTAATGCTATGATTCTTTCATATATTTTAGCTTTCTTTTGGACTTTTCTCGTACATTATGGGGCTGGGGCTTTAAACAAACTGAACATTCAATGAACGGTTCGTGAACCGTTTGGCGGGAAGTTCGTTTTTTTCGTTTATTTAATAAATGAACGAACATGAACACAAATTCTCGTTAGTTTAGTTAAATGAACGAACACGAACAATGGTTTTGTTCGTTGAATGATGTTCGTGAACGTTCGTTTATGTTGTTCATTTACATTCGTTCATTTAAGTTACATTTATGTTCATATATGTTCAATTGTGTTTGATTATGTCACAGCCCCGACCGGCGGTAGAAACGTTGGGCGGTGCGAACGTGGGGAAATTGGACTGAGGCGTACAGATATATAAAGAACATAACACAAGGTTTATCGCAAACATTTCTTTTATTTATTATAAATTATTTTGGGGTTACATCGTTTTGAAAAGACAAACATCCTAAACTTGACTAAAGACGATAAACAAACGGTACTTAAACTCCAACAGCTTCCTTGTAGACTTCCTCCTTCTTGACACGACTATCCTCTTTCTCCTTGACACGACTATCCTCTTTCTCACTCATCTCCCTGAGAATACATGTATTTTTGAAAACGTCAACATAATGTTGGTGAGTGCATATGTTTGTAGAGTTTTCGGCTTTTAATTGGTTGTATTAGTTTAAGAATCCTTTTTTTTCATAAAAACATTTCCTAAAGTATTTTATCAACCCTAGCTTACTATCTTTTAGGATATCTAACGATCCTATCTTATTATCTTATTAGGATATATTTTATTACTCCTAATTTACTATCTTTGTAAGATATCCAACGATCCTAACGTATTTTATCTACCATTCTAAGGCATCGCCGATGGTAGTCTGAACTCTAAGATGATCTAATGTATTACCATGAGCCCCCATAATCGACGTTGTTTGACTAAAAATTGTGCCCTGCCACAACGCTTCATCGGACGTCAAATAGTGAATAAGGCATCGCTGATGGTAGTCTGAACTCTAAGGTGATCTAATGTATTACCATGAGCCCCCATAATCGACGTTGTTTGACTAAAAATTGTGCCCCGCCACAACGCTTCATCGGACGTCAAATAGTGAATAATAAAAAAGTTATTCAGTCGAGATTGTAGCTAGCAATCGCAGGTGGGGTTGTTAGACCACGTATACACATATATTTCTAGCTCTCACAATATTAACGATTATAGGTATCTAGGGAATGCCGAATTTAATCAAGGCTTTGGATGAATTAACAGCTCACTAACGCATTTACCTTAGGTATTTATCTTTTATCTTTTAACGTAATCCTTCCTAGAGATTTCCTATAACTATCACAATATAAATCTTTTATCTTATATTTGATAATTGCAACCTTTAATCTCATAATTATTTAGTATATATAAGTATTCATATATATACACTAATTATGGTTATTGAAAACATGATATTTGGCGGAGTAACAACTCAATACGGTGCATATCCCTAAATTTGACCAACATAACGTCTAGGTACTATGTTATCCTAGGGAATTGGCCATTATAACATCTATGTATTATCTCTTCCTAGACTATTGGACATCATATATCTTAGGTATAATATCATAGCTTATAACTAGACATAGTATCTATAGCTATATTATCCTAAGGTTTTAATCTTTATAAAATGATATGATATTTATAATGATAAATATATTTTGATAAAACTATTTGATAAGAATATACCCCCCCCCCCACGTAAAACATTCAAAATAGTGGAAATAGGGGTCGTGTACTCACCCTAGTCGTGCGAAACC